CCACAGCTACGGGACTTGAGTCCCACGGGAGCGATCTCCTGCCTGGGTCGATCCTTGCCTGCTGCTGGCAGCCTCAGCTTTCAGCCAAGCTCATGCAGAGACAGCCCCGGGGAAGGCAAAGGACTTGGCAGAGCTTTGATTTCATTCCCCTGCCTGATGACTTCCCAGCAGCCGGGAGGCTGTCGCCGTGGCCAACTGGCACTGCCTGCCCGGGCAATGAGCCTCCCAGTTTGGACCTTGCCCCCGTGCCGGATTCCTGAGGGCAATGGCCCTGTAGTCCCGAGGTTTGCTTTGGCGCTGTCTCATCCAGGCTCAGTGCTCGCACGCCTCCTCGGGCCCGTGCTGGGGCTGGCGCGGGGTGCGCTGGGGTGGTCAGTCTCCCCACCGTACCTCCGGCACGAGGCTGCCGTGCATCTCGCGCGAGAGCCGGTGCCCGCGGAAACGCTCGGGTGCTGCTCCTGCATCCCGTGGGGCTCAATCCCTTCTAGGCTTGAGATGCGCAGCTTCGGGGTGAAGGTCAGTATTATCGAGCCAGGCTGCTTCAAGACGGGCATCTCCAATGCTGAGGACGTGGAGAAGAATTTTGTTTCCGTCTGGGAGAAGGTCCCAGAGGAAACCAAAGCGAGTTACGGGGACAATTACTTGAAAGAGCGTAAGTACCTCACCTAAAGGTTAAGCAATGCTGTTCCTCTCCTGACACAAGGCACGTCCCTGGGTGTCCCACCACCCTGTCATCTCACCGAGCCATTCGGCTGCGTTCGGCTCAAGGGTCTAAGCCCAGCAGCCTGAGTGGTGCTTTCTGCCTCCACAGTTTTGCTCAGACCCAGGAAGATGCTGCAGAAATGCAGCTCCAACCTGATGCTGGTCACGAACTGCATGGAGCACGCGCTGATCAGCCGCTTCCCGCGCGCTCGCTACTCCGCGGGCTGGGATGCCAAGCTGTTCTTCATCCCCCTCAGCTACCTGCCGTCAGCCCTCACGGACGTCATTCTCACCTGGACCTACCCCAAACCTACCCAGAAAGCCTAAGGCAGGGACGTGGGGTAGGCAGCAGCAGCCAGGGCCCGGCAGCGCAGGGTGGGATCCAGCATCACCCGCAGCCGAGGCCGTGCCAATAGGTTCCTGAATTTCTAACTTGATGTACATCTCGCAACGAACAGTCCTCTGCTAGCAGGCCAGTTTGCTTCTGAATAAAGGCAACTCCCCCGCCCTGCCTGCCGGGGCTTGGTTTCATCCTCAGCTGGGGCTGTGGGGCCGGGTGGTCAACGTGGCCAGCGTGATGGGCTGGCTCGCCTCCTTCATGGATGGGCAACTGCGTCTCCAAGCGTGGCGTGGAGGCC